GGAGTTTAGTACTAGGAGTCTAGCACTAGGAGTCTAGCACCAGGAGTCTAGCACCAGGAGTTTAGTACTAGGAGTCTAGTACTAGGAGTCTAGCACCAGGAGTCTAGCACCAGGAGTCTAGCACCAGGAGTCTAGCACCAGGAGTTTAGCACCAGGAGTCTAGCACCAGGAGTCTAGCACCAGGAGTCTAGCACTAGGAGTCTAGCACCAGGAGTCTAGCACCAGGAGTTTAGTACTAGGAGTTTAGTACTAGGAGTTTAGTACTAGAAGTTTAGTACCAGGAGTCTAGCATCAGGAGTCTAGCACTAGGAGTCTAGCACTAGGGGTCTAGCACCAGGAGTCTAGCACCAGGAGTTTAGTACTAGGAGTCTAGCACTAGGAGTTTAGTACTAGGAGTCTAGCACTAGGGGTCTAGCACCAGGAGTCTAGCACCAGGAGTTTAGTACTAGGAGTTTAGTACTAGGAGTCTAGCACTAGGGGTCTAGCACCAGGAGTCTAGCACCAGGAGTTTAGTACTAGGAGTCTAGCACCAGGAGTCTAGCACCAGGAGTTTAGTACTAGGAGTCTAGCACCAGGAGTCTAGCACCAGGAGTCTAGCACCAGGAGTTTAGTACTAGGAGTCTAGCACCAGGAGTCTAGCACCAGGAGTCTAGCACCAGGAGTCTAGCACCAGGAGTTTAGTACTAGGAGTCTAGCACTAGGAGTCTAGCACCAGGAGTCTAGCACCAGGAGTCTAGCACCAGGAGTTTAGTACTAGGAGTTTAGTACTAGGAGTTTAGTACTAGGAGTTTAGTACTAGGAGTCTAGCACTAGGAGTCTAGCACCAGGAGTCTAGCACCAGGAGTTTAGTACTAGGAGTCTAGCACTAGGAGTCTAGCACTAGGAGTCTAGCACCAGGAGTCTAGCACCAGGAGTCTAGTACCAGGAGTTTAGCACCAGGAGTTTAGCACTAGGAGTTTAGTACTAGAAGTTTAGTACCAGGAGTCTAGCACTAGGAGTCTAGCACTAGGAGTCTAGCACCAGGAGTCTAGCACCAGGAGTCTAGTACTAGGAGTCTAGCACTAGAAGTCTAGTACTAGGAGTCTAGCACTAGGAGTCTAGCACTAGGAGTCTAGTACTAGGAGTCTAGCACTAGGAGTCTAGCACCAGGAGTCTAGCACTAGGAGTTTAGTACCAGGAGTCTAGCACCAGGAGTCTATAGCACTAGGAGTCTAGCACCAGGAGTCTAGCACCAGGAGTCTAGCACCAGGAGTCTATAGCACTAGGAGTCTATAGCACTAGGAGTCTAGTACTAGGAGTCTAGCACCAGGAGTTTAGTACTAGGAGTCTAGCACCAGGAGTCTAGCACCAGGAGTTTAGTACTAGGAGTCTAGCACCAGGAGTCTAGCACCAGGAGTCTAGCACCAGGAGTTTAGTACTAGGAGTCTAGCACCAGGAGTCTAGCACCAGGAGTCTAGCACCAGGAGTCTAGCACTAGGAGTTTAGTACTAGAAGTTTAGTACCAGGAGTCTAGCACCAGGAGTTTAGCACTAGGAGTTTAGTACTAGAAGTTTAGTACCAGGAGTCTAGCACTAGGAGTTTAGTACTAGGAGTCTAGTACTAGGAGTCTAGTACTAGGAGTTTAGTACTAGGAGTCTAGCACTAGGAGTCTAGCACCAGGAGTCTAGCACCAGGAGTTTAGTACTAGGAGTCTAGCACTAGGAGTCTAGCACCAGGAGTCTAGTACCAGGAGTTTAGCACCAGGAGTTTAGCACTAGGAGTTTAGTACTAGAAGTTTAGTACCAGGAGTCTAGCACTAGGAGTTTAGTACTAGGAGTCTAGTACTAGGAGTCTAGTACTAGGAGTCTAGCACTAGGAGTCTAGCACCAGGAGTCTAGCACCAGGAGTCTAGCACTAGGAGTTTAGTACCAGGAGTCTAGCACCAGGAGTCTATAGCACTAGGAGTCTAGCACTAGGAGTCTATAGCACCAGGAGTCTAGCACTAGGGCTCTAGCACCAGGAGTCTAGCACCAGGAGTCTAGCACCAGGAGTAGTGGGCAGCTATTGCACAGCGCCCGGGGAGCAATGGGAGTGAGGGGGATGTCTGGTGCCTTGCTCAAGGGCACCACGGCAGGGCAGGAGGTGAACTGGGACCTCTCCAATCAATCAATCAATAACTTTTTGTATGACCCCCTGCTATAAGAGCCCAGGTGTCGTTCCTCACCCAAGGTGTCCCCCCTCCTCACCCCAGGTGTCCCCCCTCCTCACCTGGCCTTCAGGTAGTACAGCAGGTGATACCCGATCTTAGGCTGCTTCTGGTAGAACTCTGCCAGCATGTCCAGCAGAACAGAGAACCCACTGTTGTCCTCCTGCATCAGAACCAGGTTCCTGAACACCAGACACACCGGCTTAGAGACAGACTCCTCCAGAGACCTGCAGGGGGAGGGGGGAGGGGGGAAAGAGGGGGGAGAGGGGAGGGGGGAGAGAGGAGGGGGGAGGGGGGAGAGAGGAGGGGGAGAGA